GCCCGATCGGGCGGAGGAAGGCTGCGTAAAATACGACAGTTTTCCTTCTTTGCCCGGTCTGACCGGGCGAACCTCGCCCGGTCGGGCGCGCGTAACACGTTTCCAAAATTGCATCTCATAACTTGATTTCTTCATCGCCCGGTCTGACCGGGCGAAGCCTGCCCGATCGGGCATTCCACATAAATTTCAGTTCTTGGCTATCAACTCTTCCGAATCTACTAAAAACACGTCCAATTGCCTAGAAACGCTTCATATTCCTGAAAAGCTTACTAAAACAATCGAATACACTAAAGAAGAGATTGTTAGCAAGAAATAGCTCCGTAGAGCTCAAAACCATGTAAAATCATGCAATCAAACCGGGGAAAACCATTGTATAAAACACGTATATCAAGGTACTCAAATTTCAAAAGTTACAGTCAGAGTACTCAACCCAAAATTAACCTACTACAACAGGTTACCAATTGCAAAAAAATGTTTGGTGTTGTTAAATGATTTTGGCTGTTACAAACTAGCCGTTAGACTTCAAAAAATTAGTTGCTTCCATTTATATTCTTCCCCATTGCCATCTTCAACATTCAGACCTTGCATCAAATTGAAAAAAAAATAAAAAAAAATCACACGTAGCATTTCAAAAAATTCAAGGAAAATCGATTAAATATTTTTATTTGAAATTTTAACATGTCAAGGCTGAGCAACTCAAGAAGTAGATACCACTGTGGGTTGTTGGTGTCTAAGAGTAGGGCTTGGACAAAAGATAACCCCAGTAGAAGGTTTCTTGCTTGTCCTAACTATGATGCAAAGACTGAAAGGAGGGGCTACAAATATTTTAAGTGGGTGACATGGAAGACCCCAATGCTTGGCAGACTGATGTTATACTGGGGCTTATGCAAGAGAAGCAGGAACTCAAGAATGAAATTATGTGTATGAGGAAGGAATTGAAGCAAGAAAACTAGTATGCTAGGAAGATTGAAAGTGATTATTTGATGCTGGAAATAAAAAGGGTTGCTAGGATGAAATTGGGGATTAATTGTGACTTGTGGAAGGTTGTTATGGTGCTTGTTGTGGTAGGAATTTGGTATGCATTGAAGAAATGAACAAGTGAAGCCTTAAATATGTATTAGTTTGTATCTAATGCATCTATTTCTTGTTGTTTCTCTTCTGTTTTGCTAAATCCTGTAATAACAAATGCATTTAGTGTATGAATTTATCTATTAATGAAAAAATCAATTTTTTTTTATGTGATTGAAGTCTTATTTATACCTGCAATGCTTGACTTGAAAAAGTGTTGGTGTTTTGGCTTTGTTGTTAGCTTAACATAGGGTACTGATCTTGACTGAAGGAGTACACAGTTTGCTCTCCTTCAATGTCAGTGTAGAAGGCCCTTTGTGGTTGTTGTTGAGAGGGTCTTTGATGGTTTGGGACCTCCTTTAAAAAAAACAGAAGAAGTTAGTACTATGAAATAAATTTCAATAATTAGCAAATGTAGATTAATAAGTAGGAGATACTTACTGATGCAACTCTTTGATAGCCATTAGGGTATGTGTAGACCTCAAACCCTCTCATATGCATGGGGACAGATGTGTTAGTTGCATATGCAGGAGTTTCAGGCAAATCTGGTGTGGATGTGTGCTAGCTTCCTTCTCTTGGAGCATTCTTGCATCCCCTTTTGTTATGTCCGTTCAAGCCACATAGGCTGCATGTCTGAGGATTTCCAGTTTTCCTTAGCTTACCAGTAGCTGTGGTCTCCTCAGCCTGATATCTCCTCTTAGCCTTTGGTCTACCCTGCACCATTTTCAATTTAGGTGGGATCACAAGGGTATCAGCTTGTGGCTATTCTTGAGGACTATTCAATAGCTCAAGCAGGAAGTCATATGCTTTCATGTACTTCTTCTTATTGAAAAAGTCATTGACATAATTGTTTCGAGGTTTTCTGTGTCCCTCGGGAGAGTTACGTCACTAAGTCTGGATTCGGGGCGCCTGTACCTGCAAAACAACGGAGACTCCGGTTGGGTGGAGTTCCGCCTCCGACGATCAAGTTAGAACCGGTCGAAGAATGTAAAAAGGTGCGGAAAGTAAAGTGAGATCTTCTCGGATTCAGAGATCAGGTGTTTTTCTCTGATGTGAGGGAATTGATTATGGTGCAATCATTGAATGTTGTTCCCAAAGTGGGGTAAATCTCCCTATTTATAGGGTCATTGGGATTTGTGCCCCTATCCTAGGTTACGGAAACCTAGGACTTATGGGCTACGCCGTTATACGGCAGTCTATGGAATTGGGCCTTGAAGGCCACCAATTCAATATATATGGGGTATCTGCCTGCCACGTGTCTAGTCTTGGCAGGTCCACTTTGTCTCTCCCTAAGGTGACTCATGTTAGGCTCTGGTAGGTCCACGTGGCGGGGTAAAAATACCCAAACCCTTACAAGGGTGACGTGGTGCGCCACGTGATGCCTGTGACAAGTGTCACACATGCATTGGCGCAAAATATTTTTTTTACTGTGAATCCGGAGTAAAAATTAGGGTTCAGGCTCCCAAACAATTTACCCCTCCATAAATTATTTTTCACCCCCCTTTACATTCGCACGTTTACAAGAAAGTCTTCGAGAGAGAATCTTTGACTTTGAGAGTATTTGTCTTTTTCTGAGAAAAGCACCTGCCGCCTGCAACTTGTCTGTCTGTTTCTACAGCCGACTAAGACTTTTCAAGCGGCCTCAGTACCTTCAAATCTAAGGTAACCATCTGCTTTTCTGTCTTTTTATTTTAATATTGCTTCTTTTCTTTTAAAAATGGTTTCCCAAACACACACGGCACGGCCTAGCTTAGGTTAGTGATTAACTGGTCACCGGAGACGGCTGAGTCTAGAAATAGGAGTGCCAACTGCCCTTTCTTGGACTCCCCTTTGCGAACTTCCTCGACTCCGACTGTTTTTGTGGCTGTGCAAGACACCATGGCCAAAACGAAACAAACATCCGGGCAACAAAATCCGGACTGCTCCTTTAGGGTGCCTGTTAGTGAAATTTCTGATCTGCCGCCTGGTACTCTAAGTACCCCCAATGATTCGATTTTTCAAGAATCAGGGGAGGAGTTAGGGAGTGATGCCTTTGGCTTTTTTCATCAGGCGTCTCATTCGGACATTAGGTCCGACAGCTCTGACGGCGAACCAGGGTCGTCTACTTCTGGCAGAGTCTCTGTGGACTCTGATGAAAAGCACTCTTGGCTGGAGACAGCGAGAGAGTCCCTCTCCGCAGAGATGGGTGAGGGATGGGCTAAGCCTTCTGCCCATCGCCGAGAGCAGTATGCTGCCTATTACCACCACGTTTCCGCAGGCAGGCGGAAGTATATGGCTGACAAAGTAGGGAAATTCAGAGCTGACCATGTCATGGGACATGGCTTCATTAATAGCGTCCTGGATGCTGAGGACACCGTAGTCTGGCCAGAAGGGTCAAGCTGCGGGGACGAATGTTTTGGCTGCTATGAGGCAGCCATTCAAGCTGGTCTTAGATTCCCTCTTCATCCGGCTGTGGAGAGAATTTTAGATGGATACCAGCTGGGTATCTGACAACTTGCCCAACTCTTGGGTGAATATTTAGGGGTATGTTGCCGCTTGCGAGATGCTAGAGGTTGAGCCGAGCTTTGAGGCCTTCGCTCAGATGCATTATCTCAGTTGGACCCCGAAGGCAAGCGGGTCCGGTTGGTACACCTTTTCCAGCCATAAGGGATACATGATAGCTGTCGGAAAGGAGTCCAAGTGGAAGGACTGGAGGAGCAAGTTTTACATTATCATCTCCCCCGACCGGATGAAAAACAAAAAATATAACCAGTGGAACCGGAATCCCCCTTTGCTCTCAGGCGGAGCTGAATTGCCCCTTGTCTAAAGAAGGGCCAGGAAGCAAATCCTGGACAAGGGTCTCTTCAAAGTGATCGTTCGGTCTAATGAGGATATTGGGGAGAAAGAAGTTATTCCCCACATCTACATTCATGATTGGCTGGCTGATGGGAATTACTTGTCTGCCTGCGGCTTGAGTGTTGAGAAGCCGAGAGGTAGACGACCAAATGCGTTTTGATTTTTTCAGTAAGACTTGATTGTTTTGTTCTTACTAACCACTTTTAACTTTTTATGTAGACAGAGCAATGGAAAAGCTGATAGAAATTTAGAGTGTGGAAGTGGAGAGCTCTCTCCTCGGTAAGGAGAGGCCGCGGCTGGGAAGCCACAGAAAGTCGCGCCCGCGGCCTTATGAACCGCGCTCGCGGATGGTGTGTCGCGCCCGCGGCATGGGCACGGCCAGACATCTCCACAATTTTTGGGAAAAACTTCAATTTCCCTATCCGCGCCCGCGGGGTCGTGAGGAGCGCCCGCTCCACCTTGAGGAGCGTCCACTCCTCCCTGTTTTGCGGTTTTTTCCTGACGGATGAGTCTTTTATTAGAAGACATGTTTCGTGAAAGAAAACACAGAAGTTTATTCTTCATCTCTCCAAATAGAATTCTCCACATTTTCTCTCAAATTTCTTGCAAACTTTTGTGAGAAAAACTCTATCAATTATTCCAATCTTGGTGAATTTGTCATCTTTATTTCGATTCTTTATGCAAAGAACGAATTGCTATCTTTTGTATCTTAAAGAGGATTTCCAAATTGAACCCAAGCACCATTGTGGGGGAAATTAACCTCTTTAGGAAAATGTATACACGCCTAAGACAGAGTATCAAGGATTGTGACTCAAGTGGTCATCAACATTCTCATGTTCACGTTCTTGGTGTTGGCTTGGAGTTGAGGCAAGTTTAGAATCTTTCACATTAGTGTTTTTCTTTTGTAATTTCTGAATTACATTGTTTATTTGGTGCTTGGTTTGTAATACTTTGATTAGTATTGATTGTTGTATAATTAAGTTGAAATTATACATCATTTCTAGGTTTTGTTCCCACATTCATTCTTAAGTAGTTCTTGTTGTTGAATTACTGTAAAACCTAACAATCGAAAGAGGTTAAATTTTTCTTTAGCAAGCATGTCTAGTGTGAAAGAATTGACCACAATTTTTGTTAAACTGAAAAAGTTTGACGGTGTGGAATTTCGGAGATGGAAAAAGAAGATGTATTTTCTTCTTACATCTCTGAATGTTGCCTATGTGATAAGTACTCCAAGGCCGGATGAACATGAGAATGAAACCTTGGAATCCGTTCGGGAGAGGTCGAAATGGGACAACGATGATTTTATTTGTCGTGGTCATATCTTGAATGGTATGGAGGATGATTTATTTGATGTCTATCAAAATATTGATTCGGCTAAGGAGCTTTGGGGGTCCTTAGAAAGCAAGTATATGGCGGAAGACGCTTCAAGTAAGAAATTTTTAGTTAGCAATTTCAATAACTTTAAATTTGTTGATGGTCGGTCTATAATGGACCAATTTCATGAATTGCAACGTATTTATGGTAGTTTGGAACAACATGGAATAGCCATGAATGAATTGTTTGTTGTCTCAAGCATTATTGATAAATTACCCCCTAGTTGGAAGAATTTTAAGCATGATTTAAAGCATAAAATGGAGGACATGACATTGTCCGGTTTGGCCACCCATCTTCAAATTGAAGAAGGGATTCGTGCCATGGAAGGAGCTAAGGATGGAAATCCTAGCACATCTACCGTGAACATGGTAGATGATGGGAGAGCTAGTGCATCTACTAGTGGAAAGAGGAAGAATAATAATTCTTCCAAATGAAAGTTCAAAAAGCAAGCAAACATTAACAAATTTGCTTGTTGGGAATGCGGTAAGGTTGGACACCGCAAGAAGGACTGTTATTCTTTCAAGAAAAGAATGGAGAAAGACAAGGAGGGCTGTGCTAGCGAAAGCAAGGACCCACCCACCAAAGGTAATCCAATTCATAAGGTTGAATTTAATTCCGGTTTGGATTTAAATGCAACGGATCCTAACATTCTTATGGTGCAGGATGATGACTCATGGTGGATTAATTCGGGGGCTTTAAGGCATGTGTGCAAGAGTAAACATTGGTTCAAAACCTTTCAAAAGGTTGTTGATGGAGAAGACCTCTACATGGGGAACAACTCTACCATCAAGGTTCTTGGAAGAGGACAAGTTGAGCTTGTGTTTAGTTCGGGGACTGCAATTATTCTTAGGAATGTTTTGTATGCACCGGAAATTAGTAAGAATCTCGTATCCGGGCCTACCCTGAATAGTCTTGGCTATAAGCTTGTATTTGAAGCTAATTGGCGTGCTAGCTGGCAGCTGGCCAGCAGCCTTGGGTGATGCGGTTTTGTGAGGGTGGGGACCAAGGCTTTGGGAAAGCCTTGGGGAGCAAGGCATTGGTCCCCCCACCTCTCCATGGTCCTCACCTAATGCTCTCTCTCTCCCTTTGACACTTGTCGAATTGTGATTGCATTTATTTATTAATTTATTTCAGAAATAAATTAATTAGCAAATTATACATTCTCCCACATTGGTTGGGGAATGAAATGCAAGGGTTCATTTCCCTATAAATACCAAGCTTGGGTATTGGGAAATAAACAACCTTGAGTGGAATTAAAAAGGCAACTCTAAGAAAGAGTAAACCTTTGATTCGTAAAACTCATAGTTAGTTTTGTCCGGGTCTTGACTAACCTTCAAGACTTAGGACGCTTGGGTCGTGTCGAGGGTACGATCCGTCGGAGATCTCGTCTTTTCGGGATTTTGAAGTAAAATCTCTTTGGGAGCGAAGCACGCGTCAAAGATATAATTCTTGTTCTTAATCTTGTTTGATTAAGTTTATTATGCTTGTTAATTGCTTTAATTAAGGGGCAAGTCTTGGTGGGTTTCCTTCCGCGTAGTGTCGGGCCACTACGAAACCCTACATATTCTGCCTCCTTATTTGAGGTTTTTAAACTTGAACCGTAGTGCATTTTCATACTTGTCCCCTTCAGGGGACTGACATATAATCCCTGCACCACAGTCGTTCATAGTAGAGCTCCCGTCTACATACACTTTCCAAACCTGGTCAAGTTTCTCTAGCTTAGCCGGCCTTTTCATTTCGACAATGAAGTCGGCAAACACCTAACCCTTCACTTCCTTCCTTGGTTCGAAAGAGATTTCAAGACTTTGCATCTCAATAGCCCATTTGAGCATCCTACCGGATGACTTAAAGGTTGTCATTAGCCGCTTGAGGGGTTGGTCTGTGTAGACAACAACCGGATGTGCCAAGAAGTAAGGCTTCAACTTCAACTTCTTGACTGCCATGAAAAGAGCCAGGCCAAATTTTTCAACCATTGGGTACTGTAGTTCAGCATTTCGAAGAACATGGCTGATGAAATAGACTGGGAGCTGGATGTCGTCTCTCTCAGCAAGAAGAACAGCACTGAGAGCATGGTCTAAGATGGCTAAGTACATGTAAAGCGCCTCCTTTGGCAGAGGGCTAACAAGCCTCGGCAAAGAGTGTAAGTGTTCTTTTAATTTCTGAAAGGCCACCTCAGCATCATCCCCCAATCCAAACCTAGTCTTCTTTTTTATGGCTTGGAAAAAATAGAGGCATTTGTCGCCTTACCAGCCGAGGAATCTCCCCAATGCTGTTAGACAACCTGTTAACTTCTGAACTTCTTTGGCAGTGCAGGGTGTTCATGTCAATGGTTGCCTGTATCTTCTCTAGGTTGGCCTCTATTCCCCTTTGATCAATTAAAAATTCGAGAAACTTCCCAGACTCAACACCAAAGACACACTTCTTGGGATTGAGCATGACCTTGTGCCGCCTGAGTGTGGTGAAGGTTTCTCGAAGGTTAGCAAGGTGATCCGTCTGTAGCTTGGATTTGACTATCATGTCATCAATGTACGCCTCTACATTCCTCCCAATTAGATTAATGAAGACTGTATCAATTATTCGTTTGAAAGTAACAGGCGCATTTTTCAAGCCAAACGGCATCACAGTGTAGCAGAAGAACCCCTGATCAGTGACGAATGTCATCTTCTTTTGATCTTTTTTCCACAAGGGTATCTGGTGAAAGCCTGAATAGGCGTCCACAAAGCTCATTAAAGCATGTCCGGCTGTAGAGTCGACCAAACTGTTGATCTTTGGAAGTCGATAACTATCCTTCGGACATGCCTTATTCAAGTTAGTGTAATCAACACACATGAGCTTGGTACCATTTGGCTTCTTTACAAGCACAACATTCGCAACCCAATCTGGGAAGTGACATTGCCGAATGAACCCGGCGTCTAACAGCTTCGGCGGCTGTCGCCTGCCTTCTTTTCTTGCCGTGGTTTCTTTTCTTTTGCCTAACCGCCTTCTTTTTGGGATCCACGGCGAGCTTGTAGACAGTTGGATCCAGGCTTATGCCCGACATCTCTTCCACTTTAAAGGTAAAGATTTCTTTGAATTCCTTCAACAAATTGTGCAAGTCTGCACCTCACTTTGCAAAAGCAACCGTCCCTACCTTAACAGTACGTTCCGGACGTGTGTCGTCCAGAGCAATATCAGTATGTTCACCAGCCGGCTGGGGACGGAGTTCATCTGACCGTTCCCCGGTCAGTGACTGCTATTGTTTCTCTTTTTTCGTGGCCACCAACTGGTCGGCCTTTCTTTTCTTGTCGGCTGCTGTTGGAGCAGGCTCGGCTTCCTTGACATCATCAAGGTCTATTGGCTCCTCGCCCTAGCCGGCTGCGGCCACCGTGGGCTTAACGTATGAGAAGTAGCACTCTCTATCCGTCTTTTGATTCCCGTTTAGGGAGCCAACAGACCCATCATCCTTCTCAAATTTCAACAGCATGAGGGATGGAACAATGACAGCCTTGGATTCGTTCAGAGTCGGACGGCCCAACATCATATTATAGGCAGTCAACTCTTCTATGACCAAGAACTGAACTACCATGTAGCGTCCCTCTCCTTTCTCCCTCAGCCGAATGGGTAGGTCAATCCGTCCAATTGGGTGCACAACCCCACCCCCAAAACCAACCAATGGGTGAGAAATCTTGTGCATGTTGTCTGGCTTGTATTTCAGCTTTGACAAGCACTTATAGCTGATGATGTCAGACGAGCTTCCGGTGTCAATGAGGATCCGGCTGACCTTCTAGTTGGCCACTTTGCACGCAATGACAATGGGGTCATCATGCAGTAGGCGGACCTTGCCTCTGTCCTTTTTAGTGATGATGACCTCAGGGAAAGTGGCAGTAGACGCTTGGCCCTCATCAACTGAACTGATGTCCAACTGTCTGACATGGTCCTTGGTGCCCCTGATGGTTGGGTCCCCTCCAGCAAAGTCGCCTGCTATTGTGTAGATCGGCTATTTGTCAGTGTCTGAACTACTAGCAGATTGGGCATCCTTTTTGGACGACTGCTCGGGGTTTGTCTTCAGGGTTACCTTAGACTTCAGGATGTAAGACTTCAACACCCCTTTATAAGCCAGATGGTCCAACAGCCGCTTGAGACTATAGCAGTCGTTGGTGTCGTGGCCAATATCCTCATGGAAATGACAGTACTTGTTTTTGTTCTGGCTTTTGGTGGAACCTTTCATAGCAGCGAACTTCTCTATGATCACCCGGTCTTTTATATCCATGAGAATGGAGTAGCAGTCTTTGTTAAACTTGTACTTTGGGACGTATGGTTTAAACTCTTTCTTTTTCTTCTGGGACGGCTGATGAGAGTCGTCAACCGCCCAAATCTCTTTTCTCTTCTTACTCTCTTCTGCTTTCTTAGCCGGCTGAGCTTGTCGACTCTCTTTTTTATCAGACTTCTTGGAGTCCGACTGCAGAGCTCGGTCGCCTGTATATAGGCTTCCGCCTCCATCAGCGCTTCCTGGAGGGTGGCAACCCTTTTTCTAACGAGGTCAAACTTAAAAGTCGACCCGTCCTTCAGACCCTTGAAGAAGTTTGTATAAGTCACATCGTCAGACAGCCCTTGAATCTGGATTCTCACCAAATTGAACCGCCTGACGTATGACCGCAACCCTTCTCTATCCCCCTGCTGCACTGCACCCAAGTCAAGACTTGTTTTCTTGGCAGGGATATTCATAGAGAAATTAGAAGCAAACAAGAACGCAAGCGTCTTGAAGCTATTGATGCAGCCGGTTGGCAAGTTGTCAAACCATTTTTGGGCGATGCCCTTCAATGTAACCGGGAAGCATCGGCACCAGGTAGTGTCATCCAACCCCTGCAAGTACATGAGGTTGGTGTAGGCCATGAGGTGGTCTTCAGGGTTGGTGGTACCATCATAAGTACCCATCATGACATTCTTAACCTTGGCCGGCCTGCCGTCTCGGTTATTTCCTTGGAGAACGCAGAAGGTTATTCCCCAAGTTTTAGCAGACGGAGCTGCCAGTCCAAATGTTGGACGTTTTGTGCCGCTTGACCCCCAAAGAGGTTTGGTTGCATATAAGGTTGTCCATACGGCATGTATGGCTGCTGAGGCACATACGGGGCCGAATTGATCATCTGAGGGCCAATAAAAATGGACAGGCCGCCTGACCGACTCTCTCATACAAATTGAGATACCTCATTGAGGTATTCTGGAAGCTGTCTAGGTAACTCGACGTTGAAGCCGACTCAAACAGTTCATGGTTTCTCTTCTACTCGATTAGGAACCGGGCATCAGAGTATGTCTTCTTTGAGCCATCCGGCTGGACATGTCGGATGGCCATCCTATTCCCTGTCTCAAGGAATCGGATCTTGGAAAGATCAATCAAGGGTCGCTTCCCCTCCTTTGATTTAGGATGCGGAGTGGGCTCTCGGTCCCTAACTGGCTT